TAAATAATAAAATAGATTTAAAGTTATTTTATTTCTAACATTCCCTCATAGATGGCGCCACTAGAGTGAAAATCATGATATCATTTATTTATTATGTAATAATTAACACGTGTATGATCAGTACCGTTGCCATCCAGAGAAAGTTATAATATCCTTTCGAGGGGCAGAAATAATTACTTAATAACTGCCAAGTGAAAATATATCGATGAAACTGTAGGATGATATCGATATAAAATCCTTTTCATTTATACACGTGCTCAGAATACAAAAGTTTAACTTATTTACACATATCTAACCAAGCATTCGTGGGTCAGTGGTTATGATATCCAACTACTGACCCACGAAGGCTTTTTGATTGGCGTGAGTTCGATCCTCAGCCTTAATTATATTTAATAAATAATAATAAAACAGAATTAAATATTAAAATAGATTTAAAGTTATTTTATTTCCATCATCCCCACATAGATGGCGCCACTAGAGTAAAAGCATGATATCATTTATGTATTAAGTAATAAAAAGATGACGTCATTACTTCATAATATACAATATTTCACCCCAAATAACAAAGTTTATAAGTGTTGCCGCCGCAAGAAACTAATATTAAAATTATTATGTGTTGCCACCCTCAAAAAAAGTAATAAATAAAAACAATATTTAAAAACGAAACTATATTAAAAACAGAAACCGAAACTAAAAATATTTTAGGCTTAAGAAAAAAAGAAATAAGCTCACCATGACGCTGCAGACGAAGTTTCGATTTAAGACAGGCAGAAATAAGCACACGGGCCGAAATAAGCAACTTCCGGTTAATATGCGGGCAGAAATAAACAATTTCCGGTCTGGCAGAAATAAGCAACTTCCGGTTGGAGCAGAAATAAGCTTCAGTTGACTTTGAGTGATGACGTCACTTCCGTCTCACGTACATCGACTACTACTACTATTGTTGCTCATCCATAAAGACTAGCAAGGCTAAATTTAACTTAGTACAGCCAAAAAAAGTAAAATTAAACATTGGTTAGCAGATAAGTTCTTGATTGGAACGTTCCAAATGTACAAAATTATGATCAGGGGAAAATCTCCTCAGATCACTCGGTAGTAGTTTCAAAGCACTTAGTACTCTCAATTTATGTCAAAAATTTAGGATGCCTATTGAGAAAAAAGGTGCGGGTGGTAGGATCTTGGTAGCTAAAATCAAGTGCTAAAGAGCCACCCGATTGCTTACCCCTGAAGTCATGAATAAGTAACAAATACTGTTGAAATATCTACCTCTACAACATTGATATCATGAAAAAATTGTTGCTAAGCATAATATAATCATACAATAAAGAACTTACAATAATAAATTAAATTAGTAGCCATAAGCCCTAAAAATTTTTATCTTTATTAGTTTTCATTAAAATCTTCCTGACAAAAATTGGCTCCTTTTTTTCATTATTTCGTTCATGAGAAAAACTTAGCTCCGAGAAAAATTCTCAATTAAGAATTGACAAACAAACAATAATTTTTAAAAATGTGAGTCGTGAAGGGATTTTATGTAGTATTTTTTTAGATGCGAATTATTGTTCGTGTCCAGTTAAGGTAGTGTCGGTCCTAGGGTGGTGGTATATAATGGTTTATAGGGGATCCTCACCAAATACGACAATTTACTACCACAGAAATCTAATATCATGCAATGAAACGATGATTTTTTGAATGTTTAATTAATACTTATATTTTTAGCTTTTTAGAATAATTTTTCTCAGGTTTTAACAATTATATATATATTTAAAATTTTATGCATACATGTATTTTCAATAATGACCTGCTTTAAAATTGCATGTACATTTTTCTATGCCTAATTCTAAGCTCTTAAAGGCATTTTTGGAGTATGTAAGGAGTTTTTTAGTCAATAATTTGCACTTAACACGAAAATATGTCATTTTCTTAGCCACCTATTTTCATTTTCTCGAAAACCAACATAAATGAAGATAGTTTAAGTTACTTTTTTTGAGCCATTATTATTTTCTAAGTTATTTCTATTATTTTCAAAGTTATTATTAGGCCACCAGGTTATTTTCTAAGCTATTTCGTTAAAATAAATCTTCCGGAAGGAACAGAGAAGATAGTTTTAGAAAAAAATCCAATTAAGGAATTTTTGAAGAGCAAGTAGTTTTTAATGTGGTGATTTTCCAGCTTTTTCTAAATCATTCATATCTTAAACTATTTAATTCAGTCAGAGATCTTTTAAAAAAGCTTTTGTTGTTGTCTTTTATTTTATTTCATAACCGTCGTTGAACAACAGACCCAATTTTGGGTTTACAACTACTAATGTTCAACTCCGTAGCCTTGTAATTTTGAACAAGTCCAGAAGACAAGGAAACTGCTAGAACAGTACCGTCAGAGGTATGATTTGTTATGGGGACATGGAGGACTGTATGACTCGACAGATTTAACGAGCATCAATTACCATTTACAACACGGGGAGTTTTCAGCAGGTGGGGATGGAACCTTGGACATGGGCCCAGTGACTTACCAATCAGGATATCCCGGCCTTTTGTGTTGTTGTTGTCTTATACCACTTGTCGATACTAAAACGCCTATTTTATGGCAGAGGGGTCCGCTTCTTCTTGTTTTCCAGGGGCACCATCTACGGCCAGGAATTCGACTTCTGTCGCACACATACGTTACGGCCCGTTTCATAAGGGGGGCACATTCACACGCCACCCATAAACAGCAGATCGTAATTCTGATCAGAACTAGAGCATGATCAATTTCCGATTCAGTTTCCCCAGAGGCATTGATTTGTTACGGGAGCTTGGAAGACCTCGACAGATTTAGCGGGCACCAGTCAGCATTTTGTGCACTGGGAGTCTTCGAACAACGGGCATCGAACTCACGACCCCTGTGTCGTGCCAGCTTTTTTGTCAATGACGCAAAATAAAAATGTCAGACTTAAAAGAAGAGCATGGTAGTCAAAAGCTATACAATTATTAAATGTCATTATCCTGGCATCCAAGTGAACTACATTATATTTTAAAAATAAACTGCTCTATTTTTACTGGAGCATGTTACGGAACAAAAAGTCTGATATATCGTAATTGTTACAATAAAAATTACCTTAAAATCACTGAATCACTATAATTAAATAAATATTACGGTAAAAATTACTGTATAATATTTTACGGTTAAAAGGATTTTACGGATGATTCACCCAAACTACAGATATTTTATACCGTAATTTGATACGGAATTTTTAACAGACTAGTGTTGTAAGATAATAAAATAAACGTAATAAATGTTTAAATAGTAAAAAGAAGGAAGCTAGGTATCTAACTATGTACTCACAAGGAGTGAAATGCAACATGCTGTAAATACCAAACGTTCGAGTTTTTTTTTCCTGAACAGTTTCCTGGGTTTATGTAAAGTAAAGATTAACAGCAAAGTAACAAATAGTCTTTTGTTTCAATTTTCCCTCTAAAAAATTGGTTTCTATATTTTAAATATTTTTAATGGATTTTCGAAGCACTTTTGACAAGATTATTGAATAATAAAAAATTTCGATCATTAAACAACATAACAGCTTCAGATGAAAACACAGCATATTTATATTTTTCACTAATTGAGCTTTAACTTTCTATAGCTAAATATAAATACTTTTCTATAAATAAACCTGTTGAAAAAGATAATATTTATTGAGGCACATAATTAAACGTCATAAAAGTTAAGAACGACTAAAAGTTCTAAATGAAGTTTTAAATTAATTTTTTGGGCTATAATGTTATCATA